TAAACTCATTATTTGCATCGTGTGCACGATTCAGTGGACTAAATAACTATCTAGGCATGATTGGCTCTATAATTTTATGGTTTGAACATAGTGCATTACGAATGCAGGGTCCTATTTATTAATATGTTGTATCATGTATCCCACATACGATTTGAACAGTACACGTGGGTGGGTGCTTCTCTACAATATCTGAGTCATTTCATTGGTTAGGGCAGACAATTGCGTTCAGTTCAACGCACCGCATTTGGGTTCACAACTAATTTTCCGTTTTCCAGTGTTCTTGCGTCAGGTGCCGCTACTGAGAACAAATCGACTGAACTTCACGGATATAGTTGTGTGAGCACGGTCGTCGGCACCGATTCTCTGCACAAGTCGTAACGTGTATTTAGTTTAAGGAAATCTCCGATATTTTATTCTATGAAGTCATTTGTTGGGCTCGCCAAATTACCTAAGTATGACACGCGTTGAAATGCAAATTAAAAGCCACCATGTTAAATTGTAAACCACATACCTACTGTATGAGAGGCTTGAAAAAGCGAATAGTTGCTAATTGATGTCATCCGTCAAATCAATTCGCAATTCATCTTGAGATCCTGGAACCTATCTGTTTGCACTCTTGCTGTCTACATTACTAAATGCTATCTACTAATGGCTGTATATCAAAATAACATTAAAGAGTCAACCTTCTTAGAACATTTAATGGCATTTCGTGCGTCTGGCATAATATAGTAAAACAATTGTTGGCCGGGTCACCCGATAAAGTAGAAAGAACCGATAACCGGTGCATTATGAAAGTACAACACCGCTACTGTACGATAAATTTTCAATAGAACTGCATTGTTTGTGGCCCTATTAGCTGATAAAGTTTCTAAGGTTAAGGAACTTGTCTCTGGTTGTGAAAGCGCAGCGGCGCGGGCGCAGATGCATTAGAACTGCTTACGATGCGCTCGCTGCGTTGGATCCCGTTATTGACCTGACTCTACTGGGTACTAGACACAAGTACTTGCTTATATGCGCTACGAGTCTAGAATTCTCCCAAGATATAGCAGCGTTCCCAAGCCCTTGGCTTGCACGGCCTGTTGCACTTGCAAAACAGTCTCTTGCTACGAAATAAGATGTTTAACCTATTTATTGTTCCGCTAGAAACACGATTATAGCCAACCATTTCTGGGTTATTCGCGTTTGACTAAACTATAAACGTTTCCATTTATTTACCTATTTCAAGAAGTAAGTAGGTACGACTGTCGGAATTACTTATTACACAATGTTCTCACAATGACGTAAACACTTGAACATTATTCATAGGAAACGTGCTATGCGGTTTTTTCCTTCATTTCTAGCATGGAATAAGGTTTTTATTCATTCGTTGGCACTTTTTCTTTTAAATATATAGCTAATTTACTAAACGATGTTAACATGTTTACAAAGCACGAGCCTTTTATGTCGATGGATTAAAAACTTGTGTGCCAGCAGTTATTCTTTGACCTGTCAGAACACCAAACACCCTTTTATACTTCTGTTCAAATGAATCATACGATGCTTGTTCATACCAATTCAATGCTTTATTTGTTGCTGTGTACTCGTAGTAATTTCTATTAATATTGTACGTGTTCGTACCGAAGCCATTAATTGGCTTTCCCTTCTAATTCACTGGCCTTCACAATGTAACTAGGTACGTGGCTAGGCCCGTATGCTATCAGTTATCGTTAAATCTAGGCCATGTTATCGACTTGTGGTACTGCACCTGCTACTAGCCGACAGTAACGCTCCTGCTGTAATTAGTGTTTAGTCACGGCCTGTAGATGAAGGTGGAACGAATCTTGATCATTTGTTAACCAAATAAGTTTGTGCTGGGAGTTTTTACCGGCAATTTGTTGTAACTGGTGTGTTTTTAGCAAAATGAGGTACTTGGTCACCAGTTGGAATTTGTAATGTTGTACTTGTGTACCTCTTAAAGGTGGTAATTAAACCATTGCACACGTTACTGACTATTTATCTATCTAACCAAATACTTAATTCTCAACAATCGCGCTTGTTAGTTTAAAAAAACAAAATACTAGTTGTTTAACCTGTGTGAAATCTGTGTAAAATGTGTTAACATTATGTGCAGATAAGAAATTCTATTTAAATGTTACTCTTTCATGAAATGTATAGTTATCATAGGTATGTAACGTTTGCTTAATCTATTAGTACATATTATTGACGTCGCCTATTTAGCTATTTTCATTTCTACAAATCTGACTCAAGTGTAGGCGCGTCGAAGCCCACTGTCGCATACCTAGATAAGTTAACATTGTACGACGTTTTTTGTATCAGGTTTTTTTTTCAACCTGCTACTGAGTCCAGATAACACACATTCTGGAGTATATGACACACTTTCAGGGTATATTGATAAGCTTTATCATGGTGAGGCACATTGTGAGCCACCTCCACTTTCTTTCATTCTGTGGTTACTTTTATTGGTTTTATTTATTTCGTTATTTCGTAAATTATCCGATGCATTGTTCAATTGTTGTTATCACTCATTGTGTACAAAACATAACATTCTCAATAATTGAAGGTTTACTAGAACAATTCTATTGAGTCGTGGTTACGATCAGAAATTGGGGCCAATTTGTGTCCATAGTCCGTGTCCAGGGCAATTGGATGTGGGCAGACACCACGTAGGTGGAGGCCTTGCAAAAGACTGTTACGCTTAGACAATTAGTTTCTATTCTCACCTCGGAAAAATAGACTCTATACCTTTAATAATTCAGCACGGATTCGCGTCCTGGACGGATGTTGACGAATTTGGCGATGTTCCGAATTAATTATGTCTGTGCCGATGGTCTGTCACGTAGCTAACCAAATATAGTTGCATGTATAACGTCTTCCACCTTGTATGGAGGTGCCCCAGGAAGGAAGAGGTGTGAGTGAACCCGCGCGTGATTTAGCCACACGGGAACAATAATGTTTTTATTCATTACTTCACCATTCAAATGCAATTTGGGAACGTGCTTCCGATGCGCGTTTGTTATTTGGGAAGTGCAGCGACCAGGCTTCGCAATGTTCTTCACACGTCAATGCCCTTCTTATAAAGTTAGAATTTTAATTCTACCATTTAAATGCAGACCGAATAAGACAGACAGACAATAAAAAAAACTAGACGCATCGCAGACATTATTGTGTCATAATACCATATCGTAAATGCACTAATACTTACATCGACATCAAAATCAATTTTATTAATTTGATATGTTATAATTTGTCAATAAAATGTTAAATATATAGTTGATTCACTTTTTTATTTAATTTACTTTCAATATAAAATTTCACAATATTGGCAATATAAGAATTTATGGTAATATTATGCAGTTGATATCTAAAAACATTCAAAAATTATGTATTTTTAAAACTTGTCTAATACTAAGGCGTTAATTGTGGTTATTTAGTAGTTCTTGGGATCATCATGAATCATTGTCGTCAAGTGCATTATATTTGTGTTTTGTGAATCATAATAAAAAGTCTTGGTAGCACTCAGTGCAAATATTATTTTCGGCTATCTCCCCCAGGTCGTTTCTAAATCGTCAGTCAAATCCGCCATCTGTTTTTTGATGGTATAATTAAAGGTAATTTGGTCATTAGTAATGTCTAACATCGCAGTCTAAAAAAGGACCCACTAGATTTAATAATACTATGATCCATTTCTGAAAATAAGATTTATTACTTGGCTACTTTAATTTGTTTGAATGGTTTTTTGAACGATTGAAATGGAAGTATTGATTTATTTTACATTTTACACTCAAATAAAATAAAGTATCCACTTTCCTTAAGTCTAATTTATTTAGCGTCTAGAGTTGAAAGCTCAGATTTTTTTCTGACACGAGACGTGACTAAATTAGTATTATTTAAAAACTATACAAGCAGCAAAAACAAGCTTGTTCAGATTCTGTATAATTAATCAAAAAGTGTTCAATTTAATAATAAACTTGAGCTGTTTTCTGTCTTTCTGAAATATTACCGATTATAGCGACAAGTTAAGGAACTTTTTTTCTGCGCGTGAGTCACGTGGCACGTGCGCTGGCGCATATGTTTGCGACAGACAGGATACCGACTCAAGCGGTGTGGCGTCAAAATATAAATAGGCACCTGCTTTTGTTATGTGTAACCTGCCTAGTTCTGACTAATTTATTTAATTGAAATAGGTATTATTATGCCTAGTCATGACCTATAAGTAAATTATACAAGATTTGTTATAAGAAACTGCGTTATGTTGCTTCTTATTGACGTTATTTGTTAGGTTGTTTATTCTTCTATCTCGCAAAACAACAAATTAGGTCTGCTGAAATTAAGCATCTATGTATGTAAGATGTACAGTTTGATAATCCCTTTCGTTTCTTTCGGACGAGGAGAACCCATGAATATTTTTCACCTTGGTTTCCAAAAATGTTCGAAATAGACTGTAGTATGGTTCAACACTGTGGAGTAAGGTATAAATGAGGTGGAAGGCTATAAAAATTACTTTAAATTCTTATTAACCAACGCTATGTGCAAGTTCTAGTAATTTAATATCACAACAAAATGCAGTATTTAACTATTTATCCTCATTATTTGAAATTCAATTTATACAAATTTATTTTTGGTTTCGACGTCCCTTCTATTACGTGTTTATTATTTTTGTACTAATATTACCTCATTTAGCTCGTTTTGTTGTACCTACAGTGCAGATACAACAGTTATTGTAATAAATATTTACTTGTTTTATCTAAGGCTGTGATGATTTTACATGAAGACGTTTGTTTAGGGTAAAATAATAATTAATCCTTAAGCTATACCATCTTAGTTGTTGTTCTTAGTTAGTTCTTAATAACTTATATATCCATTACAATGTTTCTTGTTTCAAATCACAAATTGAATTGTTGGTTTTTCAGATGTTCTCTGTAATAGGTATTGTGCAATCCGTCTTGAGTCAATCTTTCCAATAATAGCAAGGTACTCATGTTATATTTTCCTTGTTGCAGCAATACACAGGGGCACAGAAAATCAGCCAACAAAGAAAGCCAGAGGAGATGGCGGCGGCGACAGTGCAACCGGGGCACGAGACCAACATGCTTACAACTGTCTCCTACAAAACGAACTCCTCGGTGCTCAAATAGAAGAAGTTAGAGGACCCTCAGCATCATGTGCCGAAGGGAACAAAGCCAGTTTGGGGACAGCCCAGACCCCAAAGTCGTCGCAAGCGTATCTGCCAGTCTACAGGTTTAATGCGCAGAGTCACAATGCTGTGGTGAGTTGAGATTTTCTTAGCTAAGCGAATTTTTACAGGCCTTGTGCTTTATTGTAAAATTATGAAATCCCTTCTCTACTGTTAGAAGTATATTTTAAAGAATCTTTATCTTTCCTTCGATTTGTGATGTTTTTAGTCCTAAATTAAACTTTTTACGTGGCCGATGCAGTTAGTCTAGATTTTCTCCATTGTGCAAATACAGTACTTACACCCACTTTTCCGTAATTGTGTGCTATGTCCTGCCTACAGGCCACAGTCCTTTATGCGATAACGAGATAACAGTCGCCAGCGAGCAAGGCATACAATCTGTCTATGGCAGTAATAGAGCTCGCCTTGTGCCAAATAGAGTGTGTTGACGTATTTTAATACTAACTCTAGTACATTCTGGGCTCGTTCCAATACGGCAAATTTGCTTACACCTTGTTAAAGCAAACTAGATTTTTCTCTCAAAAGAAAAGATACCATTTTTGTGTAAATTCCTTATGCCTACTTAATCTTTTGCTGTGTGATCTATTTACTCAGTATTGCCTTCAGTTATTTTGGCTTGTTGCCAGATAGCATATATCAATTGACTCGAATATCTGTTTTAAATTAAATCGATTTAAGAATATAGTATGATATGTTTTCCCAACTCTGTGGTTTAATATGCTATTGCCTTTTACTACATTTTTCAAATTCACACCTGTAAAATATTTTCTATAGACCAAACAAATATTTGTTCTAAAAAGGGCATTCCACCCGCAAAGACACCGGCCGTCGTAAATTGTAACAGCATTCGGATGACCTATTTAAAGGCTAGCGTTGCTCAGAAACACAATGTAAATATTTAGAAAGGAAACAGTACAATCAGCGTCTCTTGTTCTACTTTCAGGTGTTTCTATTCGTATAAGTATTCCATACTCTTTAAACGTTCACTAATGACTTGGATCAATAAAGGGAATCATCATTCGATTACAATTGTTCTCAATACCTTTTCTAAGACGGTCCATTCAGTTTCTCTAAGGCGCGGCGTTTTCAAGCTTCGTCTTCAAATTAGTGATTGCTACAATTGTTCGTTGGAGCGTGCACTTTATTTAATGCGTATCGCAACAGGTCTTTTGAGGCGAAAAATGCATTGTCATGATGTTTTCCAATGTTTGTAGCTAGTGCAGTTTTAGTGCAGCTCCAAAATTAGGGAACTTCAAAATTAAAATTACTGTAGTCTCTTCCGTGGCAATGGTGATAAAATCCTTGTAGTCTATGGTCTCACGTCAATTGTGTTACTACAGTACAAAAAATGCATGTCTAATACATATTTTATATCAGTGTGTAAAAAGAATCGATATGCGTTATGTCTGCATGTTTCCACCTGTGTCTAATTGCATCAAATATCTTCGTGCCAGTGTGACGCGTTTTTTATGAAATGTAAGCGTAATTGGTAATTCGCTTTGTTTTTTGTGCAGTTTTTGGTTATCCTTTGTTTGTCTGGCTACCCATCTAGATATTTCCCAGGCAGAGTTAATCCATGACTAAAGAGCGTAGTGATTCCATCAAAAATGAGCAATACTTTTGTATCTGGCTGTCTAAGCATTCTCTTTATAAAATTAGCTTGATTATTGTGTTAAAAAAGAAATGTTTTGAGGTCTGTGAGCCTGAATTTAGCCTTTTATGCCCTGACAATATTTATGGGCGCGTCACAGTGATGTATTTGAACATTCCGTGATTCGATGAGTTATTTAGACGGCGATTGGCGTATTGTCAAAATGCATTTTGTTTATTGCACAATAAATGTGAGTTCTTAATTTGATTTTGTATTTATTGGCTTTTTTATAGCCGTCATTTCGTAAGGTTTTATGTGATAATGACAAAAAGTTTTATTCTTTTGTATTCTGCTTGATTAATGTATGATAATAATTCAGAATTATAAAGAATCATGTTTCTCATTGTTAGTAGCGGAGTCACAACATGTCTTCTATTCGATTACAAGTTTTGTGAAGAGCCGAATCTTGAATTTTGGGCCTACAACACTTCTTACTTCAATCAGATACAAAAATCCGAAACCTCCCGAAAAATTCGTTTATTAAAATGGACATAATTGTTTTGACCCGACCATTTAACCCCTGCTCGTGGTGAATTAAATTTGCTAATATCAGTTCATAATGCCACGTAAAGTACCCATCTAATGTGTGCTAAGCACTGTTGTGACAGTATCCCTGGTCATAAGTATCCATTTTAAGTATAAACCTTATTAAAAGTCGGCGGTCATCGATTTTTATTAGAGGGTTAAGTGTTAGTGACGCTGTACCCCTTGGCCCTCGGCAACCAAACGGAATTCGCATTGGTTTACCAAAAAGTACGAATCGATACTTTGATATCGATGCATTTTTATTTTTTTATCGGTATTTGCTCGAATTCCCACAATATCAATATGTGCGTACATTAGGGGCCAAAATTTAATTTGATCCGATAAAGTGTCGATTTACTTTTTTATTGGACTCCAAAAATCTCCACTTTCATTCTGTTTCATTTTATTGTAAGTGCATATTGTGTGAGTCTTGAACTGCAATCATGCCCGTTTACTTTGCATATAACTGTATCAACATAGTAGGGTTCCAAACGAACTTTCCTATGAGACAGTATGCAGTTAAAAGGATAAACGTTATTAAGATTGAAGTTTTAAATCGTTCAAAGACCTAGACTAGGCTTCCTTGTTCATAATAACAGTAATACTTTCTCATCTGCCTGGATTTGCTATGCAGGGCTACCGATCAAGTCAATTGATGACTAGAATCCGGTTGCAGAGCCGACCTGGGTACACTCACATAACCGCAGAGGGCAAAAGCCTATTCAATGTTTATTTATCTTTGATGTTAAAACAGAGGAAATAAAATAAAATTTTTATTAATGGGACACTTGATCAAAATGCACACACTCATTAAACATTAGTATTGACCGGTCATTGATTGATTGACGTCTGATGATGGACCATTGAAAACCAAGTGTCGGACTCTTCAACACAATATGTCTAAATTATCTTATAATTTATTATTTATTTAAGACTCTGCGGAGGTGTTAAATTTGTTTTGATAGTACTCACACTGAATTTGTAAGTGTTAGAATGATATTATAGATGTTTATTACATTTGATTAACCTTCAACAATATGAGGAATTGGCTACCGTTTCTACATATCCGATTTAGTAATGAAGGTACAAATTGCTGAGTAGAGGCGGTACGATTGTAACACAACGCCCGTATCGAATGTCACGCCATTCTTGTTAAACTTTGTCATGCACGAACATACATACGTACTCACTTATTATATGATAATCATATTATAATAAATCGAATATTGTTATTGATTGTGAGGCATCCACAAAAACTAGTGCTGCACTTTAACACTTTAATCTTTGACTCGACAAGTGTAGTGTCCATGTTTTTGTTATCAGCAATATTAATTAGTTATATTCATCGACACATGAATTCTTTCATGCTGTTTTAGAATCTATCATGCTTACTATATTTATTAAAAATAAAATATGATCACAGATCTTGAGATTTTTTGTTTCGCTTAAGAAAACATGATGACTGATGGACAGCTAGCTGATAAATGCAACATCTACTTGTATATTTTTTGTTAAGTTTAACTTAGTAACAGAGAGGCGAAAGTGCCTAATAAAATGTTGGCAGTGCGGGCAAAACTGCGCAAGAGTGTCTGTCTATACGCTTTATGTGTCAATTATCGCAGAATGAACGTTTAGCGTATGAGTGACAACAAGGATATGCTAATCAGCACAGCACCCAACATTTTGCACATTTTTTTAATTCTCTTTCTACCATGCAAATGTTATTTAGTGACTTTTTTAAAATATTTATCCTTCTGCATCGTTTTTTCCCCTCCACTACATTAGCGATACAATGCCATTGTTTTTTTTGCGTGTGCAACTATTTTTGTTTTTGTCCAATCATTGGCCTGTCTGTCTTTCTGACATCACTCAGTGACAACGACCCAAAATAATAATTTATTGAAATTTTACAGCCAGATATAATGTTTTGAGGTTTTTAAGTAGTAGGAGACGGATTTAGCTATAGTTGTTATAAAGATAGATGTTTAATGTGGCTCTAAAATATAATTAATGTTTCCTGGACGTCGAACAGTCGTTTGCCACACCGTAATAAGTGATTCAGTACCTATGCATAAAATACAGCGTGTTGCATCATTGCATGATTGAAAAATAAATTCATACGTGAAAATAATTATATTCACATGTAGGTAAGCTAAAATTAATAAAATACACTGATATTTGAGACCTCCCAGAAATATTTCAATTACATATCTCTACTCCAATTTAGATTGTCTCTTCGAATTAATTTAATATTGTAAGATATTTCATTAATATTGCAATAGGTATTATAATTTAGGAGCAAGCTGTAAAAAATTGTCAAAACAGTCTATTCAAATCGTAATTTACATAGAAAATAATGACCGCATGTTTACATAAGGTTATTAAAAGCGTCTGTGCAAAAACCAGTATCACGCTTAAAAACACACGAGCATTCTGTTAAATAAATAATTTCTATTAAGCTATCTTAATCAAACAGTGAAAAAAAACGTAATCGTGTAAACAGTTTTTATCCTCATGCATTAGTGGCTTGTCAGTTCGTACAGAGTGATGATGGTCATGCACGACCCGCTTGCTGCGCCCGCGCAACCCCGCTGTCAACGAGTCGAATTCAAAAAAAGAAACGTCATAAATACTCTTTGATATCATACCATGGAGCCAGTAACTTTAGTGGTGATCGCACAGATTATTTTATATTCATCATATGATATCGACAAGTCTGGAACAATGAAGAATGAATTAGTAAAAATCGGCATTCTTCAAAACATGCACGTGGGAGCAATCGAAACTCCTTAATCGTCCATCCAGCACAAACGAAAATAATTGTCTATGTTAACCATAGATCACAGAAAAAACACATTAAAACCTCGCATGAATTTCTAAATCTGTCTTGTGGTAC